TGCTTAGATTATTGATCAGGGATCCTGTGCCAGCTATTGGAAGTTTGAAGTAATTGATTAATATACTTATGAGGTTCAACAGTTTTAGTAAATTTTGGTAGAAAATTGCATCATTTCTTTATACTGTGCAAACTCGACACCCAGAGGCAGATTTTCTGTGAAGCTAAAGAAAAAAGCTTAAGTTTCAGGCCCCCTCACTGGCACCAGCCTCACTAGCAGCACCTGGGGTGGCTTGGTCTGGCTTGGGCTGGAAGGAGGCGTGGCTCCTCTATATATGTAGCACTCTTTGTAAGATATAATCCCCTCTAAGAATACAGAAGACGACTGTTCAAGTGTTAGACATCAGTCCTTCAAACACCTTTTTCAGGAATGTATTCTTATAGGAAAATTGAAACCATCTCTAGTCTAAAAGGAAAATCCACCATTTTGCCTCAAAGAGAAAGTTGTACAGTTTGTCTATAAGTTTTTAAGTAGTATAATTAACAACTAGAGTACTTAAATGGTACGCTCTGAGTTATACAATATCTGAAACTTAATCCTAAATTTTGAAAATTTGTTTGAATAGTTGCTGATGCAAGTGTTTCTAAGATGTAATGAATGGCTACCCTGCCTTCTTGCTTTGGTGAATTTACTGTGGTGAATATTCTGTTGTCTTACCATTGACAGATGAGGATTTTCTGGTCTCAGGGTGATTTTAGCGTAGATACAAATTATAATTTTATAGGATTGTAGAAGTGTAATTATGGATATCCTCCAGGACAGACTCTGGAGCTTAGCTTTTTAGAAAACTAAAATCCCCGGTACAAATTTAATTTCTGTTCTTTGCCTCATACTCTTGAAAGCTGAGTGCCAGAAAAACAAAATGATCAAGACTCTTCTTCCCACAATAAAAGGATGTGCTTTCTCAAGGATTCAGTGGCAGGTTCTTTCTGTTGAGGTGAATTGTGAGATTGAGGAGGTGCAGGAGAGGACAGACAACATGCGAGAAGAGACTGAGTGGCATCTTCAGGCCCCAGATGCTTGTTTTTCCCTCAAGTGTTTCTTCTGTCTTCTGCCTAGGAGCACGAGTGCTACCAGGCCTTGTGGGGACAAATATGAGTAGGATCAAGAGACATGTAACTGGAATTCGTTCCACTCTTGGTGGCAGTCTCAGAGTGACTGGATGATCTGTGCAACTAATAGAGAAGGTGCTTTGTGGAGTCAGAAAGCTGCTGGTGTCCTTGTCTGGGCAGAGGGTGCTGGTGGGATGAAATGATGGAGCTTCCCTGAAGTGGGTTTCAGTAGTTGGGTTTTTTTGTCTTTTAAGTCTTAGGAAGATACATGTGCTGGCTGAGGGGGGTCGTGGTGTCAATGCGAGGGAAGGAGAGAGAGCTGTAGAACTTGGTGGGCGAGGTCATTGCTTTTTGAACTCTTTTATTCCTAGGTGTGGACAGGGGCTTTGTGTTGGTTTTGATGCTTGATTGGAGCAGATGGGGTGAGCAGAGCTAAATATGCAGATATTTTCTTGCCCCAGTTATCCCGAACCATGGCATGGCCAAACCACCTTAGCACCTTGGCCAAGTTCTCTGTAAGATCTTGAACCTTGTCACATAAATGGGATCCTAGCTGCTTGTCTATAAAAATGGGGATATAAAAAACTTACGTATTTCACAAGTTGTGTGAAGTGAGATGTGTGTTGTACATGTTGTATTTCCTCCAAAATGGATTATG